GCTCATGATATTTTAAACGGTGACAGTCCTGGGGCAGGGGGGCAGGAGTGCTAAGTCTAGGACAGGGAGGGAGACAGGACAGGGGCCAAGATAAGAGGTAACAAAGGAGCAGATGATAAAGAGCAGAGCATGAAAACAAGGGGGCTGACGGTGCTTCCACAGAATCGTCCCTCGGTGCCCAGGCTGGGACGTGGCCAGCGGGTCGGGGTGCCAGCTGACCTCACCCCTGACCTGCTTGGGCTCGCGTGTGGTCCACACTTCCCACTGAAAACCCCGTTTCTGAGCAGAGAACCTCTGCAAAGAACCACTGGCAGGTGCCCCTTGCTGAGGCCTCCTCCTCAGACGTGATCAAGCCAGCGGTGTGGACAAGGAGAGACCACGGTGCAGAAAGGGGGTCAGAGAAGCAGTAAGAATCATGCAGGTCAAGTGCATGGAACCCAAAGATTGGCCACCCACACCCCCGGTTCCCAACAGGGGGAACCTTTGGGACCACCTGAGTCAGCATCCAATTCACAGGTGCCCCCCAACCCCTACCCCAGGCTCCCCAACTCTGTAGGTCTGGGGTGGGGAGAAAAGACCTGCCTTGTCCCTCAGCCGCATGCCCTCGCAGGTGGTTCCAACACACAACCTCATGCTGCTGCTGCCCGTCCAGCCCCCTCACCCATTCACTGCTCACCCTGCAAGTGGGAACCCGTGCCACCATGTGCGGGCACGTCCCCCCCGGCACTGGGGACGCGGCTGGGAGCGGAATGACGAGGCTTACTGCGCGGGACCCCCTTCCAGAGGGAGGAGATGAGTAAATGCACGGTTCCAGGCCACACGGGGTGTCGGCAGGGGCAGGGAGGAAGGGAGCCAGCTGGGACAAGGAGGTGGGGTGTGGATGGAGCACAGGGCCGGGGTGAGAGGGCTGGAGAACGTGTGTCTGCGGAGGGAGCATCACAAGAACACGGACACGTGGAGAAGAGGTCTCGGGCCTGGGGCTGCAAGTGCACAGGCCAGGTGCAGGCCGGCCTGGGCCTCAGCCTCTGGGGGGTGGTCTCCGGGGCCCCTGGAGCATCCTGCCGGGTGGTTTACACAGGGGCTTTGGGCTGGCCACAAAGGACCTATGTGGCTTAGGGCAGGGGCTTTGGGCCACACTCTATTCGCCACACGGGAGGGCTGGAGACAGGTTGGCCCCAGAGGGCAGTCAGGCAAACTGCGGGATGGCACCCCCATAACCACGCTGGACCACGAGGCTCAGGGAGCTTCCCTGGCTAGCAACGCCCAATGATACCATCGTATCGGTGCCACTAAGTGACACTGTGCATGAGGCCACCAGGAGAAGACACCTGGAAGTGTCACATTCGGTGCCCCCCTGGGCCTGCCCTATCTGCATCCTCCCTCAGCATCCTTGCACCGTGATGACCCATGACCGGGCGTGTGGCAGCACATGGTGAGTTTCGGGAGTCTTTCTAGTGTCAAACCTACAAGTCATCCTGAGGACCCCAAACGTGTAATCAGTGTCAGAAGTGAGGGTGGGCTTGGGGGATCCGCCTGCCTGACCTCACACCTGGGTGAGCACACGCTCAGCGGCAAGGAGGCCGGTGGCGCCAGCACAGCAAGCAAAAAGGGAAGGTGTTGGAAGTGATGCGGGCTGGGCTGCCCCCCACCCACATCACCCCCTGCCCCGGGACAGGCCGTGGTGCCGGCCGCCTGTCCCAGGAGAGGATGGCGGGCTGCCCCCACCCCCCGCCCAGCGAGGGGATGCTGAGGGGAGCAGACCCTGACTCGGACACCCCCAGGCCGCACAGCCTGCAGCCCACACACCCGGTGAACTTGCGTGAACCCAAGGCAGCCAAAGCTCAGCTCCAGCATCCCCTGTGCCACCGCCTGCATGTGTCTCTGTTGAAAAAGGCTCTCGCTGGTGAGAACTAATATTTCCTGCACGTTCCCGCACGCTGCCACTACAGCTACCAGCAAGGCACAGCCAGCCAACCCAGCGCACCCGTCCTGCTTGCTGCGTTAGCGCTCACTTTGGAAAATGCTTGATGAAGTGAAAAATATGCCGCCAGCCTGCCTCGAGATGCTGCTGCCTGCAGTCTGAAAGCAGTCAGAACCTTCCAGAAATTGCCCGTCTCCTGGCACATGCACTCCAGGCTGGCGGGAGGGCCGCAGGAGCAGAGCTCAGAGTCTCGCAGCTGGTCCTTCCAGGAACCGGGTGGCCAGCAGACCCAGCTGCTGGGGGCAGCAGTTTGGGGAAGGCAGGTGACTTAGCCTGGTGTCCCAGTTTCCTATGGCCACTCTAACAAAGGACCACAAATCTGGTGGCCGCCACAGCTGCAGGGTACTGTCTTACAGCCCTGGAGGTCAGAAATCCAAAGTCAGCCACACAGGGCTCTGGCCACTGGGTGTTGGGAGGCCTGGCTCCTTCTGGAGGTTCTCAGGGAGAATGTTTCCTCCCCTCCTGCAGCTTCTAGGCGATGCCCGCGTCCTTGGCGCACGGCCCCTTTCTGCACCTTCCAAGCCTGCGATGCTACACCTCCATCCACGGGCAAATCTCCCCTGCCCCGCCCTCTTCTAAGGACCCTCGTGCAGGGACCGGGCCCACCCGGGAGACCCAGCATCATCTCCCAAACCAAGACCCCTGCGTTACATCTCCAGGGCCCCCTTGCCACGTAAGGAGGTAACAGTATTCACATCGACATCTTCAGCGGCCAGGACTCAGCCCACCACCCCGCGGTTCCCCAGAAAGCAAGCTCAGGGCCAAGCTCACCGCTGCTCTCTTGCTGGGGTGCCAGGGGGGGCAACCCTAGACTAGCAAGAGGGAGCAGGAAGGAGGGGAGGCAGGGGTACCACTGAGCTGACCACAGCTTTGTAAGAAAACTGGAGCATGGCCCTCCCAATCACCCAGTGGGGAACTAAGGCAGAGGCGCTCACTCTTCAGTGCCTTCTGGGCCTTCGTCCTACTTTGTCTGATGGGGCACGGACCTGCCCGTGCCGCCAGCCGCTCTCACCAGCACACCCCATACCCTGCAACGTGGCCCGTCAGCCACATCCGGGATCCAGAAGAGGTGGAGTACCCAGAGCCCACAGTCAGGTCCCGCTGGGCCGGCCACCTGGATGAGGAGACGCTCTGGTCCCCTCCATGTGGCCTGAGGAAGGGCGTGCAGCTGGCCAGCCCTCTCCCTGGAGGGGCCGAAACAGCCTGTGGTCTTAGGAGAGGCAGCAGCACCAGAGAAGCCCACGGGGCCCGGTGAATCCCAGAGGAGCTGAAGCAGACCCCACACAGGAGGAAGGTGATCTGATGACCACCTCGCCACTCCCGGGGCCCGACGTGGCACCCGACATTCAACCCGGGCTCCGTGAACACGGTGCCAGATGGCTAGACCCATTCAGGCCCGTGCACGTCACTAACACGTGGTATAACCTGGCGGTGCCTCTCCCCTCGGTCCCCATGGGAACGTGAGGATGGCACCAGCTCCCCTGGGGGTGTCCCAGGGAGGCAATGCTTGCCAGCTCTCCAGCTTTGCTCAAACGCTGGAAGAAGCAGAAAGCAGAAAGCCGTTTGTGGCGGGTAACACAACGTGTCAGCCGGACGGGGCCACCGAAGGCCCAGACGGCGGTTCCAACCTTCCTTCTGGCTGCGTCGGTGAGGATGCTTCCAGATTAGCATTAAAACTGGTGGACTGAGCAAAGTGGAGCCTCTCCCGACAACGTGGATGGCCGTGGACACAGGCCTCATGCAACCCACTGGGGGCCCAAATAGCACAAAAATGTGGCTAAAATGAGGAAGGCGGGATTCACCGTCCCCTACCTGATGGCCTCGGACCTACACCACCTGCTCTCAGGCGTCTCCACTGCAGGAGGCAGATCGTGTGACTCCAATCCCGTGAGCCAGTTTGTCATAATAAATCTCCTACATGGAGATGGATGGATGGACGGACGGATGGATCCATTCTGTTGGTTCTGTTTCCCTGGAGAAGCCTCACTGAGGCAGCACAGACCCTTTGTGCTACTGAGGCATCCCCCGTAGTGACATTTTGGCGGCTGAAAGACAGGGTCCCTTTCCTCATCAACGTTCTTGTGTTCAGAGGAACAGAGCGGGTATTCAACGGAGAAAAAACATTCTTCATAAAGCAAACCAGGTAACCTAAGTTGCTAAGCGGGTCCTAACATGGACCGTTTCCTGGTCATTTTTTTCAGGATGCCAGTGTTTTACAGGACGCAGCTTGCAAAGATTTTCCTTATCCTGCATCAGCGGCTGTGAGAACTCGGTCTGCACCACCCCGGGTCCAACAGCGCTGACTAAGGTGGAGAAGCTTTTTGAAAAGTGCTTCTAGGGAGCACCTGGGTGGCTCAGCAGTTGAGCGTCTGCCTTTGGCTCAGGCCATGATCCCGGGGTCCTGGAATCAAGTCCCACATCCGGCTCCTCGCAGGGAGCCTGCTTCTCCCTCTGCCTGGGTCTCTGCCTCTCTCTGTGTCTCTCATGAATAAATAAATAAGATTTAAAAAAGAAAGAAAAAGAAAAGCACTTCTAACAGCCTCCGTCGGCGGCATGGACTGTCCTACGTGGCGTCCGCAGAGCCCGGGGGTCACCCGCATCGGCCTCAGGCTGCAGAAGTGAGAGCTTTCCCACGGCCAGCTGCTCTAGTGCGGAGCAGAGCCTCTCGGGGCGAGGACGCTGTCAGCACCCAAGCCTTTGCTCATCCATCGGTGGGGATTAACTTCTGAAGCCCTATTGTGGCTCAGATCAGAACACTCAAAACTGCAATCGGCACTCAGACACGCCAAGATGCCATAAATAGGCCTCACTGCTGAGCCGGAACTCAGAAACCAGGCTAAGGAGACAGAAGCCACCGCTGACGCCCCGAGGCGGCCATGGGGCCCCCAGCCCTCCTGTCACTGCTTCCCTGACCCGCGGGACCAGCTCTGGGGCTCGGCCCCTTGCCCTCTACCCCCACCCGGCCCAGCCGTCGCCCACCGCAGCCCAGAAGGAATGCACTGACCGGGGTGCCCCTTACCTTGACAAGCTCCTTGAATTTGGGGTCGTCCTTGGAGGTGGGGTCGATCATCGTGCGCTCCTCGTTCTCCTCTGCAGGGGAGGGGGGAGTTGCGGTCAAGCACTAGTGGGAGTGGCAGGGGTGCAGGGACAGCTGGCTGCCCCTGCCCAAAGTGGGGGACAGGGATTGAGAGCAGAGACCCCAGTCATCGTCCCGGGGGGGTCACCCCACCAGCCCTGCGCAGCCACACATCCCTTCTCCCGAAAGGGAGGCAGCCATCCTCTACCACCACCACCCCCAGCCGGGGAAGAAGGGCGAGGGAGGCATGTACACGGCCTGAATCTGCGGGAAAAGCACCGCACAGCAACCGTTAATAAATACGTGCACTGACAAAGCTCACCATTCTGTAAAATATTAGGGCAAAAAAATTTTTTAATTGCAAAAAAGAAAAAGGAAGGCGGTGACATTTCCCAATAAAATGTGTTCATCCCCGTCCTGTTTATTTGTTACCCACAACCAGGCCTTGATCCACAGACAGTGGGGCCCAGCGAGCTGCTCCAGAGGGACAACGGGGAGGAGGGGCGCCAGCGGGAACGACCCCGGAGGCCGGGCGCCATCCAGAACAAAGCGGAGCAGCGTCCCCGGGGAAGGAGACCCACGTGGTGGGTCCCACTCAGCACGCCCGGGGCCCGGGTGGGACAGCTCTAGCTTGGGCAGAGCTTAGGGCCTATTAACTATGTTGACGTCTTGGGGCCTGGGGACCTAGAGACACTGCTCCTCCTAGGACTGGCCAGTCCCCAAGACAGCAAACAAGTCCCCTGTGACTGCCTTTGATGCACACACCCCCCCTCAGAGCCCACCCCCAGCCGCCACCTGTTCTCCTGGGCTCTCATGCTCCCAGCCCACCAGACCCTGCCCAAACCCCCCGGGGCCCGGTACAGACGGCTCGGAAAGCCCCCAGAGCCCACCAAGAGTATCCTACTCTCTAGTTGGCACCTGCCCGCCCTACCCCCACCCAGCCCTTCCCATGAGAAAAGAGAGGCCACATCTTCCCCGACCTCGGGAACTGCGCCTGTGACGGGCTGTGTCCTCAACGGCAGCCAACCCTCGACCCGTTGGCCTTGTCGTCGTGCGGACGGCGTTTGAAATCACAGAGGCAGAAGCTTACAGAAGAAGGCTGGATTATTTTTTTCCCCTACAGACATTTCTAAACGTGACCTTGAGCTAGGAGCCCAGATGCTCTCTCGGATGACCCCCCGCTCGCTCGCCGCCCCCTGCTTGGCATCTGATCACCAGGCCACGGCTCTGGGGCTCCCCCACCCCAGCCTTGCCAGCCGCGGGGGCTCAGTGACGTTGCAACCAGGGGGCTGGCGGGACCCACGGTACCTAGCAGCATGTCTTCGGGGTGAACATCCGCCAAGGCGGGGGACATCGGCGAGTTGATGGCATGTCTGCCTTCTTCCTGCAGGTCACTCACTGTCGAGAAAGGAGAGCACGGGTCAGTGTAAATACGGTGCCGTGGCCTCGCGTGCCGGCCGCGGAAACACAGGCATCAACGCCTGCTTTGGAAGCATTTAACAAACATTCCTCAATGGCCTGTCGCCCAGAAAGAGTCCGAGCAAAAAATGCTCTGAACCAAGAATACATCCTGCAGCTCTTCCCTCTTACGCCAAGTATTTCCCGATGCCCGCCAAGCCCTGCCAGTCTGTTTCCACTGCTCTCTGGAATACATGACTCAGACACGGAAGCTTCTGGATGCTTCCAGATCCGCCCAACACCCCAGAGATGGACCAAGCTGGATTTGCAGCGACAGGGCCTGCAAAGGAGAAAGGAGGGACCCCCTGCTCCGCTCCCCCGCTCCCTGGAGAGTCGTGTCCTCAGCGGTGGGATCTGGGGGCGGAGGCCACTCCCAGCCCACACGCAGGCAAGTCCAGAATTGAAGGCAATGCTGTTGTCGATGGTCAGGTTCAAGGGGATGGAAACCGGACGGCGGGGGTGGCCAGCGCTAGGGGCGCTAGAGCACAGAACAGAATCTAACAAACCAGACCCGAGGCTTCAAGCTGGCGGGGCTGTGACCTGCAGTGTGGACATGGGCATCTGCCGTGTGTGTGTGCATGGGTGTGTGTGGGTGTGCACACATGAGTGCGTATGTGCGTCCAGGTACCCCTGGGACTCGAGCTTCCAGCCCCAAGATCTGATTCAATGGGTGGGGCCCGGGCACCTGCTGCCTTTGGCGGCCCTGGTCGAGAGCCCCGTTCTCTGGCAACCATCGCCGTCCCCGACCAACCACATGCCATGCACCGGCCTCTTCTGGGTGACTCCCCCCCATCACCAGTGTGCCAGGGCCTTCTCTCCCACATGAAAACCTGTTTCTGTTTCCAATGCCGTGGTTAACGCGCCCGATCTCGTCTGCTCGGAAGCTAAGCAGGGTCGGGCCTGGTTAGTACTTGGAAAGGAGTCCAGTGCCGTGGTTGCCTCAAACCGTTCACACTGCCTATCCGGGCATCTGAAGAGTAACCAAGGGGACAGGGCCTAAGGCTTGGGAGCGGGCAGGCTGGGGTGGTCCTCCCTCCCCGGCAACTTTGCTGGCGGTGCAACCCCAGGCAAGTCCCAGTAACCCCTCAGGACCCCCTGGGAGGACGAACGACGATGAACGTAGGTCTCCAGCCCCAAGCCAGGCACACGCTGGGCTCTGTGGACCAGCGCCTCCACCTGGCACGAGGACAACAGCAGTGGCCCCCAGGCTGCCGTGTCTCACGTCAGGGAAGGTGCTGAGACCAGGCTTTTTACAAAGGAGACTCTCGCATCCCCATGTCCCACAGCAGCACAATTTCACAAAAGGAGCAAGACATGATCTATAGCTACCCGCACGACGCCACGCTATCCGCCCGTGGAAAGGAAGGACCTCCTGACACTGCTGCCACGCGATGAACCTCGAGGGCAGCACGCCGCGTGACACGGCCACAGAACAAACACTGCACGACTGCAGTCACGCGGTGAGGGACCCAGAGTCACCAGATCCACTGACACAAAGTCCGTGGGGGGAGGGGGCTCGTGTTTAACGTGGACGGGGTTTCAGTGCGGGCTGATGAAGAGCTTCAGGACAAGGGTGGCGGTGGCCTTACACGGTGAGCGGACCTAATGCTGCGGAAGTGCGCTCACAAAGGGTTAAAATGATACATTTTATGTTATGTATGTGTTGCCACAATAAAAAAAGAAAGGGAAGAAAAAAAGTGGACCCTCTGCCAACAACATCCCCGTCTGGAGCTGGAAGTCGGCCCCGCGGTCAGCCCCGCACACACACACCCCATCCCCGTCCTCCCCACCCCATGCACAGCCAACGTTTTCTCCCCAAACCCTTGGCTTAACTTTGTGCAAGACGCACACAAGTGCGATGAGGCACCCATGGGATCTGAGGCGCTGGGCGATAGTCCACAGATGCCCATGGGCCACCCTGGCTGGCTCAGGGGACAGCCACCACATTTCAGCAATTGCTTGTGCTACGTAGTGAGCTGCAAAGAGCATCCCAGCCAGCAAACCGCTCTCAGAGGCAGAAAAAGGAAAGCAGGAGGGGGGATACTGAGGGAGAGCTGGGTGTGCGCAGAGACCCTGAACTCCTAAATCCTAAGTCACAGAAGGACGGAGAGGCCAGGGAGGTCCCTTCGGGTCCAGGCGGTTGGAGATGCGCTTATGCTCACAGCCCGACAAGGGCTTCACCCACGCAGAGGGTGGCGCAGGTGGGGGCCTCCGGGCACAGGTGAGCCACGCAGCTGAGTCGTGACAACGAGCCTGTCACTAGGCTCAGGAAAGACGCCACCGGGTCCCGCGCTTCCCAGGACACAGGCCGCGTGCCAGAGTGACGGCGGGAGGGCAGCAGGGTGGACACTCAGAAAGGCTTCCAGGCACGCGGCCCCGCTACCTGACCTCAGAGACACGAGCAGGGGAACAGAGAGGAAACAGCATTTTCAAAGCATAGAAATTGGGTCACATGGAAACAGAGAAGTTTCCACGCCGCCCTGGACACCAAAGATAACACTAAACAGGACCCGAGATTTCTCGACCTTCCTAAACGAGAGACGCTCCCACAGACCCGCCCGGGCTCTGGCTCCACGGCACATTCCAAGGAGCTCGCCATGTGCAAAGCTCTGAAGGAAACAAGGACCGGGCCAGCAGACACGGGCCCGGGTCTGTGACCACAGGGCCCGGGGTTCGAATCCCACCTTACCACACGTGGGCATGTGGCCCGGAGGGGTCCCTTCACCTTGCCAGGCCTCAGTTTCCCCACCTGTAATGCGGGGGTGACAGCAGTGTCTGCCTGCCAGGGAGCAGTGAGGAATAAGTGAGATCATGAATTCTCGGCTCCTGGTTCGGGGGCACAGGCTCTGTGAAGGGGGGGCACAGGAAGGAGGTGGGAAAACAGACTCCAACAGAAGGACAAAGCGAGGAAAGAGTGAAGAAGGGGAGGCGTGGCTCTCCCGCACCCCAGGAAGGACCAGGGAAGGCTTCCTGGAGGAGGCAGCAATGGAGCGCGCAGCGCAGCCTTGAAAGACAGCAAGAATCTGGAGGCGGGGCTTTGGGACTCTGCAAAGCATACGGGTGACAGATGAGAGCCCAGACCCCGGAAGCCCCCCCGTGGCACCCACATCGATGCTGAACCACGGCAGATGCCTCTTTGGGACTCTGTTTCTCCCAGCCTGGGTTCCCCGAGGGACACAGCCCGTCGACAAGGATCTTTCCGTCTGAATCTGATTACCGTCCTTCCAAGGGTCAGTCTGACGTTTGGGAGGGAGGGGCTCCTCTCGAACCACGGCTTTTCCCCCAAGGACCCCACTCTGCCAGTTTTGCGGCTTTCCATTAATCCTGGAACGTTCTGGTTTTTAAAGTACCGGCCCATTTGCCAGAAACGCGAACACTTCAAAGATGCGAAACGCCGGCCGCCTTGAGTCACAGAGAAAGATCCGCTGGCCCGGGAGAGCTGGCGCCTGGTGCGCACGCCGGGTGTGGACATTCGGGGGTGGGGGGAGTGGGGGGCTCCGCGTCACGAGGCTGAGGACTCAGTGACGTCCTGAGGGTGCACTGCGGTTGCGAGATGCACGCCCTCATCCCCACAAAACCTGACAGCCAACCGCGAGGAAGTCGGTGGCAAAGGTTCCCGCTGCACCCAAGCTCACCTTCCAGGGGTGCCACTGTGTGGCCGGGGCGGGTGCAGAGGGGACCTGGGGTAGGGGGGAAGCCAGGAGATTGGGGGAGGCGATGGAGGCCAGGTCGGACAGCGGAGCCAAGGGGGAGCCCTGGATGGCACAGGTGCCCCTTCAGGGACGGCCACCCCCTCACCCAGCTGGGGGCAGGGGGCAGACCGGGACATGCAAACGGCAGTCTCCAGTCTTGTGAGCTTCACAAAAGTGAACGTTTAGGGTTTAGTACACTGTACAAACATGAGCAGATCATTCCAATTCTGTGGGCCCACCAGGGGCGACGGGTTTGCAACCGCAGGTCGCAGTGCACGCACCTGTCCCACCTGTCCGTGGAAGTGGATGGAGCGTCACTAATGTATCCTGAATACCTACTATGTGCCGGGTACCTTCCGCAACACCTGTTCACTACATCTCCTAACAAGCGTGTGAGGAGTGGCTGGGTCCTGGCTGGGCCGGCATCTGTTAGATGTGAAGGCACCTGATGCACGCGCCCCCCCCAGTGCCCAGGGAGCCCCAGAGTCAGGACTGACCCTGGTTCTACACGGTCTGGCGCCTCCCTGTGCCAAACTAAGTCCTACGCGCCTTCAAGCTTCAGCTTCCTGGCAACCTCTGCCAGGAAGCCGTCCTGGGTGCTCCCTTCCCACACCCGGGCTCCTCTGTGCCTAGCTCACATTGCGCAGCCCCACGACCTTCTCTTCCCCGGACCGTCTGCCCACCCACACCAGCGCTAAGTCAGCTCCTGCGCGCACCGTAGGTTTTCACATTTGAGGAGCCTCGCAACGGAAGGGAGGCTTCGAACCCTGGAGCTGGTCTGCTGGTTTCAGATCCCGGCTCGACCCCTGACGAGCTGATCCTGGGCAAGCTGCGTTATTTGCTCCGTGCCTCAGCTGCCATCTGTGAAATGGGGCATCGGTCGGAGAGGGATTACAAGGCTCAGTGAGCGGGGGCGCCGAACGATCGCTGGCATGCAGTAAGCGCTCGATACATGCGAGCTTTCAGCATCTGCTGGATCGATGTATACAGGCGTGTTTCCAAAGCCTGTTGGCTTTCCATCACCCCACCCAAGGACTGGGCAAGGCTTAAGAAAAAAAAAGAAAAAAAAAAAGAAAAACACCTCTCCGGCCTGGAATTACAAGCACATAAAAAGGAGGAAAGAACTGGAAGCTATAACCTCGACACTTGAAAGCACCTCATAAAGAGCCTGCCATGTACACCCCGGGCCAAATGCAAAGGTTCCATCTTTGATTTTTTTAAAAAAATCTTTTCCTTTGTATGGGTTTC